CCGCGCACATCTCCGCCGCGGCACCGCTCGTTCGCTTGCAGCTCCTCGCCGCCAACTCAGATAGTTCCGGCTCCGACTCTGACTGCACTCAGCTTCTGTACGGTATTTCAGCCACCGGCTCCTCCGTCTTGCTATAGCACGGCTCCGCACCGCGGAGACGCTCGCATACCTCCCGGCCCCGAGCGACTGAGCGATCGAGCGGGTCCGCAGCGGGCGGGGCTGCAGCGCTCCGAGCTTCCTCTCGCTCCTCTCGGTCAACAGCGGCGCCCGCAGCCTCCGCCCGGCACTGCAGGCACCGAGCGCTGCCCAGCGCTGCCGTCCTGCCTTCCCACGGACAGCTCGCGGGGCGGGACATAACCGCTAAGAAGATGTCGCTTTCCGTCCAGCGCGGACCTCCTGCTTCGGCTTTTGTCCAGCGGATCTCTGGTTTCATCCTCCACCGATGAAGACATGATAGAAGTAACACGCCTCCTGTGATTATGCTGCTTCTATCGCCCGGGAAAATGTCTTTATCAGGATCGTATAACAAGGATGAAACTATCTCTGAGTGAGACGTCTAGGGTATCACGAGTTTTACCGCATATGCCTAAAAGAGCAAACTCCTACACCAATTCCAGTTTTTTTATGAGCAGTGCTTGAAGAACAGCATTTCAGAGGGTGAAAATAGTGTTTTAGAATAGGAATACTACTCCTAAACAGTCACAATATTCACAGTGGTCACCGAATCCAGCACTGCAGGGAAGATCGTTACTATTTTGCGACTGCACATCACACACTACTCTGAATAAATCTACATTACTATCCGTTCTCCAATCACGACTTCGCAATTTTTCATTACAATTTTACTCAATATAGGCATGACAATGCTCACTCTGATGACTTAATACTTGGGTATTACGTCAAGTATTGGAGTCGTCTTGATGATGATGGCACTAAGGTCAGGCACAGAGTTCGGGTACTTTGTAGGTAATGAATACAGAGTTGGCTCCACCCACAGAAAACTTTTTTGAAATCCTAAATTAACCTGACTCAACAGTGTAAGCATTCCTACAGCACCCTTCCCTCAAAAGAAGGGATTTGATCCACCTATCAGAAGGTCCAAACACATAGCTTCGACAAAAAACTGTCCGGAAGGAAAACTCTCCACACCAACCATCATGTAAATCTCATTCTACACAATGAAAATCCGCCTCCTTCGTTAATAACACGCAAAAATAAAGAAAACAAAATTTTCCTAAAGAAAATCTTACAGCTAAATCAGAATGTGTCACGAATTAAAATGCGCTTCAAAACTGATAAACGGTAAGAACATCCAACTGAGCTTACCATTCTTACAGCAGATAAGGCAGCAATTGCCGGATCGCAACACATGATGCAAAAAGGAACACGCGAAGGAGTTATTTCACGGGGTCATGGTCTGGTTTCATCCTCCACCGATGAAGACGTGAAAATGTCTTTATCAGGATCGTGTAACAAGGATGAAACTATCTCTGAGAGTGACATCTGGGGCATCACGAGTTTTACCGCATACGCCTGAAAGAGCAAACTCCTACACCAATTCCAGTTTATTTAATGATCAGTGCTTGAAAAACAGCCTTTCAGCGGGTGAAAACAGTGTTTTAGAATAGGAATACTACTCATAAACAGTCACAATATTCACAATGGTCACCGAATCCAGCACTGCAGGGAAGATCGTTACTATTTTGCGACTGCACATCACACACTACTCTGAATAAATCTACATTACTATCCGTTCTCCAATCACGACTTCGCAATTTTTCATTACAATTTTACTCAATATAGGCATGACAATGCTCACTCTGATGACTTAATACTTGGGTATTAAGTCAAGTATTGGAACCTTCTTGATGATAATGGCACTAAGGTACTTAGTAGGTAATGAATACAGAGTTGGCTCCACCCACAGAAAACTTTTTTTAAATCTTAAATTAACCTGACTCAATAGTGTAAGCATTCCTACAGAACCCTACCCTCAAAAGAAGGGATTTGATCCATCTATCAGAAGGTCCAAACACATAGCTTCGACAAAAAACTGTCGGGAAGGAAAACTCTCCACACCAAGCCCGTCATGTACATCTCATTCTACACAATGAAAACCAGCCACCTTCGTTAATAACACGCAAAAATTAAAAAACCAAAATTTTCCTAAAGAAACTCTTACAGCTAAATCAGAATGTGTCACGAATTAAAATGCGCTTCAAAACTGATGAACGGTAAGAACATCAACTGAGCGTACCATTCTTACAGCAGATGACGCAGCAATTGCTGGATGGCAACACATGATGCAAAAAGGAACACACGAAGGAGTTATTTCACGGGGTCATGGAACTACTAACAGACTAAGGGAAGAAAAAAAGCACAAGAGCTCCCTGCCACCACCACGCCGTTATTTAAAGGCGCAGAAGGAAGGAATTCCTTTTACAGACCTGCAGTGCGTCCGGGTCGGCCGGAGGCTCTCCCGTCCCGGCGTTAGTAGTCAGGCTCGGCTTCTCGCAGGAATCCTGCCCCGACTCGGAAGCTAAACACACGTCGTAGGAATAGGGCAAGGGTAGCGTGCTGCTACAGTAGTTGTACGGTGCTTTTGAACCCAAGGTGGAATACAGTTCCTTATCAGAAGTTATAAATATGGGAGGGCTCTTGGACTGTCGAAATTTAAAGAAAAAAACAAAAATTACCGTGGAAACAAATAATAAGGACACCACGGAGAGCGACACAACAAGAATGAGGTTCAGATCAGACGTCAGGTGGGACACAGCGTCTCTGTCGCTCAGCTCCGGCAGCGCCTCCTGCAAGCTCTCGGCCAGCACCACGTGCAGCGTGGCCGTGGCCGAGAGCGCCGGCTGCCCGTGGTCCTTCACCACGGCCACCACGCGCTGCTTGGCCGCGTCCCGCTCGGACACGGCGCGCGCCGTGCGCACCTCGCCGCTGTGCAGCCCCACGCGGAACAGCGCCGGCTCCGACGCCGGCACCAGCTCGTAGGACAGCCACGCGTTGCGCCCCGCGTCCGCGTCCACCGCCACCACCTTGGCCACCAGGTACCCGGCCTCGGCCGAACGCGGAACCACCTCGAAAGGAGTCGCCGCCGCTCCCGGAGCCTCTCCCGGCGCCGCAGCGGCTCCGCCTCCCGCCGCTGCCGGCCACAGCACCCGGGGCGCGTTGTCGTTGCGGTCCAGCACGAAGACGCGCACCGTGGCCGTGGAGCTGCGCGCCGGCGAGCCGCCGTCCTGCGCCCGCACGGCCACCGTGAACTCGCGGCACTGCTCGTAGTCCAGGGAGCGCTGCGCGTACAGCGCGCCGCTCCGCGCCTCCACCGACACGAGCGGCGCCGCGCCCGCCGCGCCCGCGCTGCCGCCCGCCAGCCAGTAGCTCACGCGCCCGTTGGCGCCCGCGTCCGCGTCCCGCGCCTGCACGCGCAGCACCAGCGCGCCCGCCGCGTTGTTCTCCGCCACGTACGCGCTGTACGCCGCCTCCTCGAACACCGGCGCGTTGTCGTTCACGTCCGACACCTCCAGCACCAGCTCCGTGCTGCTCCACAGCGCCGGCCTGCCCCGGTCCCGGGCCACCACCGTCACGCGGTGCTCGGACGCCTGCTCGCGGTCCAGCGCGCTCGCCGTCACCACCTTGTACGAGCCGCCCGACGACGCCACGATCGACAGCGGCGCCTCTCCTGACAGCTCGCACGACACCTGACCGTTCTCGCCCGAGTCTCGGTCCCGCACTTTTAGCAGGGCTATCACCGTGCCAGCTGGCGAGTCTTCGGGCACTGGGCTTGACAGCGACAGAATCGTGATCTCGGGCGCGTTGTCGTTCTCGTCCATGATATCTATTTGCACCTTGCAGTGTGATACCAAACCCCCGCCATCCCTGGCCTCCAGGCCAAATATGTATTTGCTCTTCTCCTCGAAATCGAGGGGGCCCGCCGTCCTGACCTCCCCGCTGTCGCTGTCGACAGTGAACAATGCGCTGATGGTGCCGTGGACGTTGCTGAGGGAGTAGGAGACCCGCCCGTTGGTGCCCGCGTCTGCATCTGTCGCCCGTACCCTCAGCACGAGAGACCCTGATGGCAAATTCTCCGCCACTCGCGCCTCGTATACTCCTTTGCTGAACACAGGTGGGTTGTCGTTTAAGTCCGTCACATTGATGTGAACCCGGACAGTCCCGGATCTCGCGGGATCCCCGCCGTCCACTGCTGTCAGTACCAATTCAAAGAAGCTCTGCTTCTCCCGGTCCAATGCTCTCTCCAGCACCAATTCCGGCTGCTTGCTTCCGTCGAGGGTCTCCTTTAAGGCGAGAGAGAACGACGGGTCGCTCGTGAGATGGTACGTCAACAGCGCATTCGTTCCCACGTCAGCGTCCTGTGCCCTCTCCAGTGGAAAGCGAGCACCGGGAAGCGTCCATTCACCAATCTCGAGTTCCAGAGCAGCTTTGCTAAAAACCGGGGAATTGTCATTCACGTCCTCGATCGCCATCTCGACGTGGAAGATATTCAGCGGGTTGTGAACCAGCGCCTCGAAGCTGACGGAGCAGGTCGCCGACTCGCCGCACATCTCCTCCCGGTCCAGCCTCTCATTCACGTACAGGTTCCCGTTCTCCTCGTTCACCGTGAAGTATTGCTTCTCCTCGCTCAGCCGCAGCTTGCGCGCCGGCAGCTCGTCCGCGCTGAGCCCCAGGTCCCGCGCCAGCGGCCCCACGAGCGAGCCTCTGCCCAGCTCCTCGGGGATGGCGTAGCGGACCCGCTCGGCCGCCGCCCGGCCCCACACGCACAGCAGCACCGCGGCCAGCAGCGCTCGCCCGCCGCCCGGCCCGCGCCTCTGCCGCCGCCTCACCGCCATTCTCTGCCCGCAGCGCTCGCCGCGCTCCTGCCTCCTGCCGCTGCCCTGCCTCCCTTCCAGCCGCTCTCGCCGGCGACAACAGAGACCGCTCAAACGCAGCGAGCTCGGCGCGCCGCCTCTCTCCGCCTCTCGCCGCCGCTGCTGCTGCTGCTGTTGGCGGTGCCGCTGCCGCTGTGGCCGGCGCCGGGCGAGCGAGCAGCCTGCGGGGGCAGGACGCTGCGGCGGCGGCGGCGGCGGCTCCAGCGCCGCTCGGCGGCGGCCAACAGCGACACCCGGAGGCGCCGCCGCGCCACTGCAGCCGCCGGATGGCCGCGCTCAAGGGGGCCCGGCTTTGGGCGGGGCTCAGCGGCTGCACCGGCCCCGGGGTCTCTCCCGACTGCAAACACAGCGCAAGAAGCACTGGCTCGGTGTGACTCGAGAGGCGTTATTAAGTCACATGCGCTTTTGGGTGCTTTCAGTTCATGTCCTTTAGTCCCACTGAAATCTCAGATGCAAGTATTCGTGTCAGAGCAACATGGAAAGGAACTAAGTTGGTCTTAAAAAATTCGTAGTTAAACTACAAGAGCAAGGAATGTTATTATAGAAAGGGATGAAGTTGGGAACCTTTCAACTCTCCATCAAGCTTCTTCAATTCTGCTTCCCTTACCTGGGACACATTAACTTGAGAAACAAATCAGCCTAAAGCAAAGCTTAGAGCTTTATTATAAGAATGAATAATGCTTATTATTTTTTTTTCTGAGTAATGAAATGTCTTCTTTTGTGTCTCCATGCCTGAGAACCTTACAGTGAATAAGTGCAAAGGCAATTCTGAGTCTTTCATAGAATCAAATAAAATATGTTTCACATCGGAAACATAAACGGTTCTATCCAAGCAACATGGTTCCTTATTGCTGGATGCCTGTCATTTATTTTCAGCAAAGGGATCACAGGAAAAAAATGACACAGTCCTAGACCCCAGAGATTAAATCTAACTATTTAAAAAAAAAACCCTTTGGCACACCAATTTCCTGGATCAAAGCCAGTCTCTCAGCCTACTCGAACTGCATTCTGAGTCTTCAGACACATCCAACGCTTGGGTCTGGGTGTTTAGACTATGCTCCTAGAACCACCACAATGTATAAGTTTATGTTTCTTATTTTGTCACTTGTAGTAGCTACACAACAAAGGAAACTGTCTTGTAGCAAGTACACAGGACCTCAAACCACATGCCCCAGCCAGAGTAATTTCCTTGGACCACGAAAAAAGAAAAATAACTTGGAACCACAGGTGAGGGCCTCATCAGACTACAAGGACGAATGGAACTTTACACATTTCTTTTATCCATTTCAAACCATATCACAGTAAACTCCTACACTGGCCCTGTCTCTGGATAGACAGACTTTTCTCTGTTATCACACAATACAAATCAAATTTTGAGGACAGGCACTATTAAAAGTCGCTCTCACATGTTTTCAAATCCCAAGAATCATAACACAAATCCATGCACAGCGATTTTTCTGCTCATCACAATAATTTCAGCAATTCTGGAATATTGTAAAAGCTATCATCAGCAGCTCGATTTGTGATCCAGTCATCAAAATATCACTCAAAGGTAACACCATCACTGTCCAGCACATGGGTTTTCTGGAGGATGGCTGACTCTCCTACTCTGAATGCAAGGTTTCCATCTGCGCCCAAAAATTACCATTCCCAGAAATTATCATGAAACTGAAAACAGAAATGGTGAACACACAACCTCGCCCTTTGAGTCCAAATGATGAAATATCAAAAAATGAAGACACACTTTAGACAATTCTCAGAATATCATTAATAAATACATGAATCAAAAACACACGTGTCTCCAACATTACATTCTCACAAACAAATCTCTCCTCAACCCCTTTTGCTCCTCAACCCCTTTTGGTGGAGAGGCGCCATCAAAAGAAAAGGTCCTCACACAGCTTCCCATTGCCGTGGATAATATTTCACTTCTCAACCTGAGTACGTGGCAAGCATAAGTATTTCTTCCAGTAAATCTTCAAGAAAACACCTCTATTAAAACGAGCAAGGGAAGAGGTTTAACTCTGCAAAAAGGAAGGAATCAACAAAGACTCTTGATGATGATGGTCCTAAGGTCAGGCACGGAGCTCGAGTACTTAGCAGGTAATGCATACAGAGTTGGCTTCACCAAAAATTCCCTTTATGGCACTTGCCATAAGAACCTAATTAAACCATTCATTAAAAAACCACAACAACCTGCGAACATACAGGAGGAACCTCCCAGGGCTTCCCACACAGCTGAAGTTAGATGTGATAGGACAAATTTACCAGGGAAGAAGAAAATCACATTGCACAAAAGTAGGGCTGAACACTGAACAGGGAAATGAGCAAACAATGTCTCTCCTGTTTCAACAAACCTCCACACTCAAGTCACAGGACTCTTATCTCCAGTCCTGAACAACATCCAGAGTATCCTCTGACCCTCATAAGCTGCAATAACATATAATCAAAACCCAACTAAAACATCTTTAACATCCACCACCATCAAGCCATCCACATTTACCGGGAAGGGGAGTTGGATTTCTCTGCAAGGCTCAGTAGCCTGACATTTCAGATTATGTCAACAGTAGTAGGTACAGGAAAAGGGTATCTAGGGAGTGAAACATGCAAAAAAACACTCACACGGGAGCTCACACCAAAGGCCATGCCCACAGATCCTCAGTGTAATTTCTTTGTACAGTAAAAATAGGAAAAATGCGAGGAACCACAACTGCGACTCTCATATAACAACTAGGACAAATTGAATTTCTACACCACTTTTACACCTTTAAGAATTTAAAACAAAAAAAAAAAAATCACAGCAAAAGTTTAACCTGCCCTGTACCTACAAAAGAGATTTTTCACCCTGGCCAAACATCGTGCAACAGCAAAGCTACAACCGCAGTCAGTCTTCTTTGAAAGAAAAGAGGTACACAAAATCTCACACGGTCAGAGAACGATCACTGATACTCAAAGGAAATGTGTGCTACTAACTAAAATAAAATACTGTCAAGAGCATAAACGATACTCAGCTCAAAAAGGACGCAGTCATCACAATAACTGCGCATCCTACCTCAGCACATGGCTACCTTTGAATGTACACGATTTGAAAATTTTAAAGTGATGTTAGACACTGGGCGACTAAGTGTTCTTTCAAAAGAATGTCAATCTGCTCAGGAACAGTTGCTGTCGGGGAAACACCCGAGCCTCCAAACAATATAAATTCCACTTGCATTTGATGCAACACATCCATTAAGAATATGGAATGCTGAGAGGAATTACACTTGTCAGGAGTAAAAAAGAAGAAACAAAACGCAACTCTATGAAAACACAAAGAAAAAACCTCCAGCCAAGAGCAACCTCCCTTCTCCGACCGTGCCCAACAAATTTAAGGCTGAACATGGACCCCACGTCCACCTCCGTGCAGCAAGAATCAGCAGGCCCCATCATGCAGATGGAGAGGACCGATCCTTCCTTCTCTGCAGATTTTCCTACGCAGCACATGGACCACGGAAAAAAAAAAAAATGAGAGAGGAACAATGAAGGAAAGCATGGAAAAAAGAATTTGGCCCCGCCGGCGACCCGCCGTCGGCCGCCCGCACCGTCACGTTGTACTCCGGCACCTGCTCCCGGTCCAGCTCTCTCGCTGTCACCACACGGTAGTAGTCCTCGAAGGATTTCTCCAGCCGGAATGGGACGTCCCCATCGATCGAGCAGCTCACCTCGCCATTACTCCCCGAGTCTAGATCATGTACCTGTAACAGTGCGACAACTGTCCCAGATGAGGAGTCCTCAGAAATCTCATTTAGCGTCGACCTCACCGAAATTTTGGGTGCGTTATCGTTTATGTCTGTGACCGTGATCGCGACTTTGGCTGTGTCGAAAAGACCTCCCCCATCTCGTGCCTGCACGTCCAGCTCATAGTAGTTGCCTTCCTCAAAATCCAGGTTCCTGAACAGAGTGATGGCACCCATCTCAGAGTCCAAATGGAATATCTTCGAGGCTCTTTCAGTTATTTTCTTAAAAGAATATGTCACCTGTCCGTTCAGACCCTCGTCGGCGTCCGTGGCCGTGACAGTGACGAGGACAGAGCCCACGGGCACGTCCTCGGGCACACGCACCGTGTACTCCGCCTGGCTGAACACGGGCGCGTTGTCGTTCGCGTCCACCACGGTCACGCGGATCCGAGCCGTGCCCGTCCGTGCCGGATCGCCGCCGTCGCTCGCCCTCAGCACCAGCTCGTGAAACGCCGCCTCCTCCCGGTCCAGCGCCTTGGCCAGCACCAGCTCGGGACGCTGATCGCCGCCGGGGCCCGCCTGCACGGCCAGCGAGAAGTGCTCGTCGCCGCTCAGCTCGTAGCTCTGCAGGGAATTCTGACCAGAATCCGGGTCGTGCGCCTCGGGTAAGGGAAACCGCGAACCCGGCGCTGTCCCCTCGCTTATTCTTTCTTCCACCTCAGCTTCCTTGAAGCTGGGCTCGTTGTCGTTAATGTCCGTGATTTCTACTTCTATTCGGTAAATCTTCATTTCTCCTTCCACTATCAGCTCACAGCGCAGCACGCATTGCTGCACACTCTCGCACAGCTGCTCTCTGTCGATTCTCTCCGCCGTCACTAAATGTCCTGTCTTTTCGTGCAGAGCGAAATACTCCATACTACCCTCAGAAACAATGCGGACGCCTCGATCTCGGATCTCCGGCAGGTGCAGCCCCAGGTCCTTGGCCACGTCGCCCACGAAGGAGCCCTTGGGCATCTCCTCGGGCACCGAGTAGCGCAGCTGCCCCCACGCCGCCTGCCACGCCGCCAGCAGGATGGCGCAGAGCAGAGCTCGCTGCCGCCGGCCCCAGCGCCTCCCCGCCGCGCACATCTCCGCCGCGGCACCGCACCGCGGCCGGCTATTCCCCGCCTCCGACTACCGATCCTCCTCCTTGTTCCACTCAGGCTCCGGCTCAGCGCTCCCGGCTTTTGCTGCCGGTCGTTCCGTCTCGTTGTAGCCCTGGTCCGTTCCTCGGGGACTCTCGCAGACCGCCCGCCGCCGAGCGTGACAGGGAACAACCGATCGAGCGGGTCCGCAGCGGGCGGGGCTGCAGCGCTCCGAGCTTCCTCTCGCTCCTCTCGGTCAACAGCGGCGCCCGCAGCCTCCGCCCGGCACTGCAGGCACCGAGCGCTGCCCAGCGCTGCCTGTCACACGGACAGCTTTCTCAGGCGGCCAAAGTCTTTAGGGAGGCGCATTGCCCAACTCATCGGGCTAATGCCGTCCTTTCTCTAGCCGCCTTCCAGAAAAACATGGAATCGCACAAAACTGAACGTCCATTAGGGAACAACTTTTATGTTCCCTCTGGAGTTCAGCAGCGAACCACCAGTAACAAACAGAGAATTATTCAGCAGCCACTCAAGTCCCAGTACTTTGCTTCAGGGAAGATGGATCAGGCAAGAAAAATATTCACTCACTTTTCCCGAGAACACCATGTAATATTGGTCGATTTTATTTTATCGGTTAAGGATCTGTTTGGAACTTCAGTAATTCCCATTATTTCAGACAACCCAAGCTTTGTAGACAAAATTTTCCCAGTGAACCTGAATACACGTGATACGACCCAAAAAGTCCTAACAAAACTCGTATATAATTTTCGACAGCACAACTGAAAGAAAAACCCTCCCCTACACATCTCACAACTGTGAAGCAGGCAGTATCATGTACCAGGCTTATTTCACTGTTCACTGAAACCTGCAATTTACACAACTACCTTCCCTCAAAAGAAAGAGGGCACATTGAAAGGGAAGGAGAATTCATTATGAGGGAACGACCGGTCACTTCTCTATTGAGTGATCCATCTCCTCGTACTCACTGGAAAGCTGTCTCCATCATTAGAAACCCGCAGTGTTTCAGACAAGTTTCGAAGACAAAGTTCCTCAGATGAACCTCAACATGTCGTGAGGAAAAAGCTGCCATCTAAATCTGACTGCTCTAGGTAGAAAATTAAGGAAAGCAAAATGTAACTCAGAGCATCAACAGTCCTGCAACATTTGATGCACCACAAGCTAAAATGTAAGAGACATTACACTGAACCAACAAGTGAGACAGCTGATGAGACCAGAACTGGCTGCGGGCACTGGAGGCTGTTAGAGAGACACGGGACAGCATTCTTGTCCAATGAAACACAGACCTATACGAGGCATACCAAAACACAACCGAAGCAGAAAAGCAGAACGCTGCATGCCCTGAGGAAAGACTCAGGAAAAAGAGTAACCGGGTTTTACAGACCTGCGGTGCACCGGGATGGGACGCCGGCTCTCTCGTGACAAGGTCGCTGCTCGGGCTCGGTTTCTCGCAGGAATCGCCGCCCAGCAGCTCCTCCGCCGACAGGATGGGCAGCGGCGGCGGCGGCGGCCAAGCGGCCTCGGGCACGGCGCGGGCCGGCGCCGCCACGCACAGGTTGTAGGAGTAGGGCAAGGTGCCCTCGCAGAAGTCGGCCGGGAAGGCGGCGCCGGCCAGCGAGAAGCGCTGCGCGCCCAGGCAGCGCAGCACGGCGGGCGGCCCGGCCCGGCGCAGCCGCGCCAGCACGGCCAGCGCCACGCTCAGCACCAAGAGCGCCGACAGCAGCGCCAGCGCCAGCACCAGGTAGAACTGCAGCTCGGCCGCCGCCGCCGCCTCGGCGCCCGCCGGCCGCTCGCTCAGCTCCGGCAGCGCCTCCTGCAAGCTCTCGGCCAGCACCACGTGCAGCGTGGCCGTGGCCGAGAGCGCCGGCTGCCCGTGGTCCTTCACCACGGCCACCACGCGCTGCTTGGCCGCGTCCCGCTCGGACACGGCGCGCGCCGTGCGCACCTCGCCGCTGTGCAGCCCCACGCGGAACAGCGCCGGCTCCGACGCCGGCACCAGCTCGTAGGACAGCCACGCGTTGCGCCCCGCGTCCGCGTCCACCGCCACCACCTTGGCCACCAGGTACCCGGCCTCGGCCGAACGCGGAACCACCTCGAAAGGAGTCGCCGCCGCTCCCGGAGCCTCTCCCGGCGCCGCAGCGGCTCCGCCTCCCGCCGCTGCCGGCCACAGCACCCGGGGCGCGTTGTCGTTGCGGTCCAGCACGAAGACGCGCACCGTGGCCGTGGAGCTGCGCGCCGGCGAGCCGCCGTCCTGCGCCCGCACGGCCACCGTGAACTCGCGGCACTGCTCGTAGTCCAGGGAGCGCTGCGCGTACAGCGCGCCGCTCCGCGCCTCCACCGACACGAGCGGCGCCGCGCCCGCCGCGCCCGCGCTGCCGCCCGCCAGCCAGTAGCTCACGCGCCCGTTGGCGCCCGCGTCCGCGTCCCGCGCCTGCACGCGCAGCACCAGCGCGCCCGCCGCGTTGTTCTCCGCCACGTACGCGCTGTACGCCGCCTCCTCGAACACCGGCGCGTTGTCGTTCACGTCCGACACCTCCAGCACCAGCTCCGTGCTGCTCCACAGCGCCGGCCTGCCCCGGTCCCGGGCCACCACCGTCACGCGGTGCTCGGACGCCTGCTCGCGGTCCAGCGCGCTCGCCGTCACCACCTTGTACGAGCCGCCCGACGACGCCACGATCGACAGCGGCGCCTCTCCCGACAGCTCGCACGACACCTGACCGTTCTCGCCCGAGTCTCGGTCACGAACTTTCAGCAGAGCCACCACGGTGCCTGTCGGGGAATCCTCGGGCACGGAGCTCGAGAGGGACAAAATTGTGATCTCGGGCGCGTTGTCATTTTCGTCTGTAATGTCGATCTGCACTTGGCAGTGATTGGTGAGGCCACCGCCGTCTCTTGCCTCCAGGCCGAAGATATATTTACTCCTGTCCTCAAAATCGAGGAGACTCGCCGTCCTGATCTCCCCGCTGTCGCTGTCAACTGTGAACAATGAAGGGACGTCGTCAGGGACATTGCCAAATGCGTAGGAGATTCGCCCATTGGAGCCTACATCTGCATCCGTCGCCCGTACCCTCAGCACCAGAGACCCTACCGGCAGATTCTCCGACACTCGCGCCTCATAGACGCTTTTGCTAAACACCGGTGGGTTGTCATTTGCGTCTGTCACGTTGATGCGAACCTGAACAGTCCCGGACCTTGCAGGTTCTCCACCGTCTACCGCCATCAGCACCAATTCAAAGGAGCTCTGCTTCTCTCGGTCCAACACTTCCTCCAATACTAATTCTGGCTGCGTGCTTCCACCAGGGTTGTCCTTTAAGGCCAAACTGAAGGATGGGTTGCTGGCAAGCCGGTAAGTCACCAGCGAGTTGCTGCCCACATCCGCATCTCGGGCAATCTCCAAAGGAAAACAAGCACCGGGAAGCGTCCATTCACCAATCTCGAGTTCCAGAGTAGCCTTCCTGAAGGTCGGGGAATTGTCATTCACGTCCTCGA